AATATCCATCAGACCACCGACTAAAACTATGACAATAATTAGAGAAGGGGGAACAGAGGAATGAGAAAAGATAAACAGAGAGAAATCTAACTGAAGAGAGAAAAAGAGTAAAAATAGGACTGGTGGAGTGGCTGAAGTGGTAGAGTGTCTGCCTTACAAGTGTGAAGCCCTGAGTTCAAACCCCAGAACCACCAATAAATAAATAAGGACAGAGAAATGAGGAGGAAGAAAAGAGGATTGAAAATTAAAAATCAAAACTTGGTGTGGCTGGCTTATATCTGTAGTCCTAGTACTTGGGAGGAGAGGCAGGGAGGCCAGAAACCCCAGACCAGCCTGGGCCCTATGGGGAGAGACTGTCTCCAAAACAGAATGAAAGACAACAAGACCAAAAACAAAAAAGCAGAGCAGGACGAGACAGGCTAAAGTTATTAGGAGTATAAACGCAAAGAAGGCTGGTGGAGGGGCTCAGTAGTAGAGCACCTGCCTAACAAGTATGAAGCCCTGAGTTCAAATCCCAGTACCACAGTAAATAAATGAGTTAAAAACAAATTGCATAAAAATAGAGTGAAAATATTTATATATGAATATTTAAACCAATCACATTAGTTTTAGAAGTCTCTATAGACTGGGCTCTAGTGGCTCACACCTGTAATTCTAGCTCCTTGGGAGGCTGAAATCAGGAGGGTTGAGGTTCGAGGCCAGCTCAGGCAAATACTTTGTGAGACTCTATCTCCAAAATAACCAGAGCAAAATAGACTGGAGGTGTGCCTTGCAAAGCCCTGAGTTCAATTCCCAATCCCCCCACCCCACAAAAAATGTTTTTAAATAAAAAGGTTCCCAGTCCTCTAAAGATGCCACCGTGGGCTGCAGTGCAACTATGGATCTGTGCCAACTTGTTTTTCTACCCAGTGAGGGTGTGTAACCTGGTTTTCTGTTTGCCTTCTCGTTCACCTGACAACCAGAGGGGGTGCTTTCTCAGTAACCCTCCTCTGGGCTCTGTCCTTCAGGTCTCCACCTCTGGATCCCTGCCCAGATGGGAAGTGGCTTCTGTTTTCCTCTCTGAGTCAGTTTCCTCTGCAGCTAACTCAGCAATCCTGGCCAGCACTCAGTAAATGCCTGCCGGGTCCCCAGAGACCAGGCCATGCAGGGACTTGTGGTCCCGAAAGCTGCCATCCCAGGATTTTCATGCAGTGGCCCTGAGCAACTGCCCTGTGCCCGTGCACTTGGTGGCCACCATGACCCCCGGCTGGCTGGGCTGTGGTGGGAGGAGGATTGGTACTGACTGTGTCTCTGAGTCTCTTTCATGTCTGTTCCTTCTCTCTGCCACACTGTCCCTGCTGGACCTCTTGCTCAGTCCTTCAGTCTTCCTGTTCCAGTCTCAATATCCTCTCCCCTTTTGATTAGATAAAATTCGATCTGTTTACTACTGAAATCACAGTGTGTGTTGTCTGTGACTTTTGATTGTTTTTTGTCGCCACAGTTCCCGCCCTCTGCAGTTGTGTGTCCTGTGCTCTTGGTCCCCTGGAGAGGACTTTCTCTCCCTCTGTTCTGCCTGCCAATGCCACCTTTCTTCAAGAAAAAAATTGGTTCTATCTGAACAGTACTGAAAGCTCAGGGTCTTCTATTGTCACAACCTTGATGGGGACCTTCTTCTTAGGTGGCTTCCTGGAAGATGCTGGCAAAGTGTGGGTGCCATTACTCCATCTTCTTAGACTCTCCAGTTTTTGAGACAGGGTCTTGCTGTAGCCCAGGCTGGCCTCAAACTCAGTATCTTCCTGCCTCAGCCTCCTGAGATTATAGGAATGCACCACTGCACCCGGATTATAGGATGTTTTTGGTTCTTCCTGCAAACTCTTTACTTTTTGTATGACTATCCACATTTTCTGTTTTATCTTTAGTCAGTTTCAGACGTGTGCGCATTTCATTAGGTTTGCTGCATTCACTGGCATACAATTATTCATAGTAGGTGTGGTAGGTAGCTCAGTGGCCCCCAAACATGTCCCAAACCTGTGGCTGTCTTGTGTATGATGGGGAAATTAGGGCTGCTAATCATCTGACATCCGGAAGAGATGATTCTGCATTATGTGACCGAGCGTGGTGTCACCAAGGCGTCATGTAAACAAGGAAGGCCGGGGCAGAAGACAGGAGACGAGAGGTCAATGTGCGTTGTCCATGTTTTGCCCTTGGACTTCTGTCTACTTTTCCCTCCCACAAGTCATGCCTTGATGACACGATGGCGCTCTGTGGAGCCCAGGTGACTTTACTGAGAGCTCCCCAAGGGCCAGTCAGATGTGCTGTCTTTATGGATTTAAAATTTGCCCAGTATTTTAAAGACTACAAGAAGCTATCGGTGCTTGCTATCAGTGTGAGCATTTAATCTCGATGGTTACAAAAGCACTCAGTGCTGTGGCACCTGGGACAGTCAAACCTTAGTACCCTGTGGTATTGAGAAGCAAGTTTCCAGTGTAACGAAGAAGGTAGCCCGTGTAGTTTTGTCATGACAAAGCCATGCCAGAGAAAGACAGCAAACTACACATTTAAACTCCACATTTTTCTTTCTTTTTTTTTTTTTGTTCCAGTACTGGAGATTGGCCTTGCATTAGCTCCAGTCCTTTTGCTTTTGGATTTTTTTTTTTTCAGATAGGGTTTCATGCTTCTGCCCAGGCCAGACTTGGACAGAGATCTTCCTACCTCCACCTCCTGAGAAGCTGGGATTATAGCTGTGCACCACCATACGTGCCTTCTAATTTTTTTTAAAAGATCATTTTATTAATCCCAACTCCTCACACACATGATTTTATTTATTTATTTATTTACGGAAGTGCTGGGGGTGAAACCCAGGAACTCAAGCATGGTAGGCAAATGCTGTACCACTGCCCCAGTTCCCTACATGTTTTTCTTAGAGTAACAATTCTCTCTGAAAATTTGAAATGGCATGATCGCAGGTCCATCCACTTCAACATTTACTTGTTTAGCTGCTGCCTTGGGAGCAGAATCTGTAAGAACCCTGTTCATTTTGATCATTACCAAGGTCACTTAACTTCATATGTAAGATTCTTGGGAATCAAGACATGGTTTAATCACAAGAACTTCTTCAAACGAACAGTAAGCTTTGTTGTTTCCTATTTTTGGTTTTTGGTTTTGGTTTTTCTGAGACTGGTCTTGTTCTGTAGCCCAGGCTGGCCTGGAACTCGTGATCTTTCTTCCTTAGCCTCCCGAGTGCTGGGATTACAGGTGAGCTCTGCCATGCCTGGCTCCCAACAGTATTTTACAACCAAAAGTTACAGATTCTTGATGAAGGACACCCCAGCTCAACAAGCACAAGTGAACACACAGTGTGTATACAGTCCTGGGCTCAGGGCTGGAGGAGGATGCTGTGCCTTCCTGGGCTCACCACATGTGAGAAAACTCTCAAACAGGGGCATGAACAGGACCCAGCAGACCGCAGATGAGCAGTCTGTAGGAAGGGAGATGCCCACAGGGCACAGAGGGAGGGTGGGATCTCACTAGAAGTCACAGAGAGAGAAGGGAGGATGCCAGGAATGAGTTATACAAAAGCCCAGTGAAGGAGGATTTGGGCAAATCATGGACCAACCATAGTGTCCAAAGAATGGAGGAAGGGTGATTGTGGAGGGAAGAGCAGATGGAAGACAGGAGGCTGGAAGGAGGGGCAGGAATGCTACTGTATAATTGGAACTCTGTATTGGAACTCTCTGTAGGTGATAAAGAGCCATAGACAGACAAGGTGTGGTGGCACACACTTGTAATCCCAGCCCTTGGGAGGCTGAGATAGGAGGATTATGAGTTCAAGGCCAGATTAGGCTACACAGTGAGATCCTATCTCTTAAAAACAAAACACAAATAAAAGAGCCATACTCGCACAAAAAAGAGTATGTGAATGGGAGAGGTGCTACTTAATGCTGTAGGAAAGTGTTAAAGCTAAGATTCTTTTTTATTTATTTATTTTTGGTGACACTGGGTTTTGAACTCAGGGACTCACACTCACTAGCAGGCATTCTATCACTTGAGCCATTCCGCCAGCCCTTTTTTGTGATGGATTTTTTCTTGATAGGGTCTCTCAAATTATTTGCCCAGGCTGGCTTTGAACCACTGTTCTTCTGATATCTGCCTCCTGAGTAGCTGGGATTACAGGCGTGAGCCACCGGCACCCAGCTAAAACTAAGATTCTTGTAGCATACATTTCAAATTTGATAATCACATCAGAGGGATTCAAGGAAGAAGAATGCCATCACTGTCCAACATAACACCTTGGGAATGAGGCCAGCAGGAGTCTGGGTCTTTGTGTGGAGGACCCAGCCACACAGCTGCACAGGTCACCAGCCTGTACTATCTCTCTGAAGTGCATTTGGAATTAATCGTCTCCTGCTCTCACTTATTTTCTTGGGGGGCTGGGGATGGAACCTGGGGCCTCATGCATGGGCAAGAGCTCTACCACTGAGCCATATCCCAGCCCTTGAGTTCCCATCTGAGGCAGAGGACAAGCATTTGCATTTCTTACCTCTCATCTCTGTAATACTGTCCCAGAAAGAGGGAGGGCAGACTGGTTAGGAGAGGATGAAGTGAGAAGTATTGGGGAACATAGAAAACAAGAATATTTAATGAGCTGGGTGCTGGTGCTCACATCTGTAATCCTAGCTACTCAGGAGGCAGAGATCAGGAGGATAAAGGTTCGAAGCCAGCCCAGGCAAATAGTTCCTGAGATCCTAGCTCAAAAAAACCCATTCCAAAAAAGGACTGGTGGAATGGCTCAAGGTGTAGGCCCTGAGTTCACATCCCAGTATCAAAAAAAAAAAAAAAAAAGAATATATAGTGAACAAATTCAAGTACTGAAATGGCAGTACGGTTCTTTGTAATCAACACACCTGGCTCTTGGCTGTCTTGGCCTGTTTTTCACATGGGTGGTAATCACCATTTTCAATCACAAATAACAAACAACGACTGCAGAAGAACATTCATCTAAGGCTCTAAGGCAGCATTACCTTGCACATTATAGACACAGTAATTAGGGTCTTCTGACTCTTCCTTCACTGACACAGCTGGTGCCTTCGGTGAAATGCCTGTGAGGGCAACGGAAATCATACAATCAGGTGTCCTGCCAAACGCACCAAACGCAACCAGCAAATAAGCTTCCGGTTCTATGACCACCACAGCTTCGGGTTCTATGGTGACCATAGCTTCCGGTTCCAGGGTGACTATGAGGTCCAGTTCTATGAAGAACACAGCAAAGTTATAATTAGCAGGAGGCCGTATAGGTCTCAGTGCGAATGCATTGGCCTTACTGATATTAAGCTATAAATAACATAAGTACTTCATATACATGTTATTTAATTACATCTATAAATGAATATTTACAAGTCCATGTATAGGCACATATAAAGTAATATGAATGACATCAATATAAAATACAAACTCAGTACGAAAGGAAAGGAGGAAAGAAGGTGAAAGGAAGGAGTGGGGGGTGAATTTGGTTTCCAGTTCTGGCCCCAGTTTGGAGGAACAACCCTTTCAAGATCTTTGAATAATGGGGCCAGGGGTGTAGCTCAGTGGTACAGCACTTGCCTAACATGTGCAAGGCTCTGTGTTTTATCCCAGCCCCACAAAAAAGAAAAAAAAGATCATTGAATAGATGTATGCAGTTACATGAAATGCTGTAAGTATTCTTTTGTAATAGAATTCGAATTGGCAGGTATAATCTTTTTTTTTTTTTTGGTGGGACTGGGATTTGAACTCAGGGCTTCACGCTTGCAAAGCAGGTGCTCTGTTGCTTGGTCCACACCTCCAGTCCACTTTGCCCTCGTTATTTTGGAGATAGGGATCTCTCAAACTATTTGCCCTGGCTGACCTCAAACCTAGATCCTCCTGTTCTCAGTCTCTCAGGTAGCTAGGATTGCAGGTGTGAACCACTGGTGCCCCTCAAAAGATATAATCTTAACATATTCACTATGGTGAAATGGATTTCCAACCTGGGGAGTGGGCTGGGGATGTAGCTCAGTGATAGAGCACTTGCCTAGAATGCATTCAAGGCCATGGTGTAGCCCCCAGCAACACAAAAAGCAAAACAAACAAAAAAACCCCGGATAAACTGCATCAGTGAAACCAAAAGCCTTTATCAAGGAAAGGTGTGACTGATAGCAAAAATTAGCCTTAGACTTCTCCCATCCTGAATGTTGCCTCTTTGCAAAGTGGCTCTCCCCTTTTCTGCTGTGCCCTCTAAGGTCGGGACTGGTTATATGACTTGCTGTGGATGATGGATGTTATCGGGATACAAGCAGAGGCTGGACAAGTGCCTTTAGATTTTATGAGGAACATTCTTCAATAAAACTTAAGGAACTACTTATGCTGCAGGAAAATTCAAAGTTACCATTTTTGAGCAAACATTTCAAATTTGATAATCACGCTGGGCGCCAGTGGCTCATGCCTGTAATCCTAGCTACTCAGGAAGCAGAGATCAGGAGGATCGCAGTTTGAGTCCAGCCCAGGCAAACAGTTCCTTGAGATCCTATCTTGAAAAAACCATCACAAAAAAGGGCTGGTGGAGTGGTTCAAATGGTAGAGCACCTGCCTAACAAGCATGAATCCGAGTTCAAAACACGGTGCCACCAAAAAAGTTTTTCTGGGTGTGGTGATGCACGCCTGTAATCCCAGCACTTGGGAGGCAGAGGCAGGAGGATCTCAAGTTTGAGGCTAGCCTGGGTTACTTATCAAGACACTGTCACATAAAAAATTAGTAATGTGCATGCATTCTCTTGTTAATATCTTTTGTTATTGATGCCTAAGCCATGAATTTAGCGATGGAAAACAGAGATATATTTCCAAATATACAAACTTGTCTGAATTATTTTTTATTTAAAATGTGTATTAGGTTTGTAATATTTTATAATACATTGTTAATGAAAAGTACATGTTCCAAGTTAATTAGAAACTAACAATTTTACTAACAGAAGCAACTGATAAACATGTTCTCTAGCTGTGCTGTCATGAAAAAAAAATCCTTTGTATTTAATCCAAGCAATCAAAACCAGATTTGACAGTTGTAAAATATGCCTGAGGGCTGGTGGAGTGGTAGAGTGCCTCCCTAGCAAGAAAGAGGCCCAGAATTCAAACCCCAGAACCACACACACAAAAAAGAGAAAAAAAAATAATAATGTGCCTGAAAGCTTTTAGGCTTTCTTCAAAATATGACAGAGAGAGGAGGAAAGGAGGTAGAAAGAGAAAGAGGAAGAAGAAAGGAGAAGAAAGAAGAAGAAGAGGAAAGAAAGGAAGGAGAAGAAAGGAGGAAGAGGAGGAGAAAGAAGGAAAGAGGAGGAGGACAGAAGAAAGGAAGATGAAAAGAAGGGAAGAAAGGGAAGAGAAGGAAAGAAGGAAGAAGGAAATTCAAAATTCATCATCTGATTTACTCGTTCTGTGTAGCCAGTCCAACACAAATATCCCAAGAAATATGATCTAAATAGCTAGCCAGCACTTGGAACCACTCAGGCAGCTGGAATCAATTCCTATTGTGTCATGAAATGCCCATGTTCCCCCCACCACCACAAGGAACCACATCTCCAAAGGGAGGCCTGCACAAAAGGGGCCTCTTTCAAGGGGGGTGAGAACGTCTCATGCAGCTGGGCAGGAAAGAGATGGAGGGGGGAGCTAGGGGTCCCTGACATGGCCCTGGGGACATATTCATAATTCCTCATTTCCACCCAAATGGGAATTCCCAATTTCTCTGAGGAGCCTCCACGGGAGACTGTGACCATCCAAGACCCAGGCTGAACATGTCTGAATTTTGAAAAGCTTCCAGGGCCAGAGTTGAAGGCTGGTCCTGTTACTAATAGATTAAGATTCGTCTGAATTCTGCTGAGTCACAATGCTTGGCTCGGTTCTTTCCATTAACTTGGGTCTCCTCCAGTACCACTGCTATAGTTGCCATCTTGAATATTCCCCAAAGGCCTATGTGTTAAAGGCTTGGTCCCCAAGTTGTCACTCTTGGGAGGTGGTGGTACCACTGAGAGGTGAGTCTTGGTGGGAGGTCTTTAGGTCATTGGGAGTGTGACCTGGAAGAGAACTGTGGGATGGCAGCCTCTTCCTGCTTTTGCTTCCTGGCCATGAATGGAGCAGTTGTGCTGTACCACACACTCCCACCATATTGTGCTGTCTTGCCACAGGCCCAAAACACTGGGGCCAACTGATCCTGGACCGGAACCACCAGAACTGTGAGCCAAAGCAACCCTTATCTCTTCTAAGCAGATTATCTCAGGTGTTCTGCAAGGTGAGAAAAGGCTGACTAACTGCCTTCAGAGGACAAGGGCTACTGTTTTTAGTCATGTAGAAATGGCACTTCCACTGAGCATGGTGGGTGTGAGGATGGGAGGAACACAAATGCCCCAGCTAGGGTGAAAGGACTCTTGAGTATAACAGAGGAAGAGTGGCCACAGCACAGAGGAGTCCTCCCCAGGACTTGCGGCCTGCTGAACGTGAATGATCCTGGCCTGCCAAAGACTCTGAGCTCCATTCTACTTACTGAAGTTTCCTTTTTCCCTTTTACTCAGTTTTGTTTTCCTTTTGGATTACCTTGGGTTGAATTTTAACTTTACATTTTGAACTGGTTGGTGTTTTTTAAATTTTTCTTTTGGTGGTACTGAGGTTTGAATTCAGGACCTCATGCTTGCTATGCAGGCACTCTACCAGTTGAGTCACTCTACCAGTGCTGTTTTATGTTGGGCATTTTCAAGGTAGGCTTTCACCAACTATTTGCCTAGGCTGGCCTTGAACCATGATCCTCCCAATCTTAGTCTCCAAAGTAGCTAGGATACAAGCATGAGTCACTGGGGCCTAGCACTGAACAGTATCTTAATAGCTAGTATTTGCTGAACTAGAAGACTCTTTTACTTAGGTATTTGAGTCAAATATGATTATAAGTGAACATCTCAACAATCCAAAAATCTGAAATGCTCCAAAATCTAAAACCTCCTGCATGCTGACGTGACACCCTAAGTGGAAAATTCCATGCCTGACCTCATGTGAGGATCACTTACAAAACACAGATGTGCTAAAAATATTGTATCCAGTCACCTTCAGGCTCTGTGGATAAGGCCTATATGAAACAAAAATGAATTTTGTGTTCAGACTTAGGGCCCTTCCCCCACAATCTCTCTTTATACATTTGTGCAAAAAATTCCCAATCCCAAGAAAATCCCAAATCTGTAACACTTCTGGTTCCAAGTCTTTCAGAGAAGGGATACTCAACTTGTACTCTGGAAATAAATCCCAGATGAAGTTAATACATGTTTCAGTTCTCATCTTTAAAAAGCAAAACAAAAGACAGCAGCCAAATGATAGCTTGCTAAATACTTGCTCCCGAGAGCATTGCTGTACCTACCAGACTCTTCCATGGGTTCACTTTTCACATTGATGGGGCCACAGCTGCAAGGAGAAGGGACCCTGGTCAAGACGGGCAGCATGAGGACTGACCACAGGCTCTCAATGTTGAATTCTCATGGCACCACATCCCCTCCCCGTCATCCAAATGTAAAGTTATCTCAACTTTAACACTGACGCACTGAGTAACTGGTTATAGAATTAAAGGTGTCAGTTGCATGAAGTCTTAGGATGTCCTGTGACCTTCTGCATTTTTGAAATAAGACCAGCATATAAACCTTCTTACTGAAGTTTGTGTTCTTTTTTTTTTTATTATTATTATTTTCCCTTCATATTGTATTTTAAATATTGTAATAAAGCCTTCCCACCATGTAAAAGTCATTACTTGGTGTTTGGATATGTATTTATTATTTATCCTTCCCCCTTCCTTCCTTCCTTTTTTCCTTCTTTCTTCCCTCCCTTCCTCCTCTGTTTTCTTTTTCTTTTTTTGTGGTACTGGGGTTTGAACTCAGGGCCTCACACTTGCCAGGCGGGTGCTCTACCACTTAAGTCACACCCCCAGCCCTGTTTGCTTTAGCAAAAGGGCTGTCATGTGCTGCAAACTACAAGCCTCCTATTTACACTGCCATGACAGATATGTGTCCTCACAGCTTTTAATGGATGAGATGGGGGTCTCACCAACTTTTTTGCCTTGGATGGGCTCAAACAGCAATCTTCCCTATCTCTGCCTTTCGAGTAGCTAGAATTACAACTGTGAGCCACTGTGCTTGGTCCTTTTTGGTTTTTTGAGTCAGGGTCTTGTTATGTAGCCCAGGCAGGCCTGGAACATATGATACTTCTGTCTCAGCCTCCTGAGTGCTGGGATTACAGGTGCGCACCACCATGCCTGACTTTATTCTTTATTATTCTTTACCTTTCATTTGGTGGTTGCCTTGATCTCTCAGCATCTGTTGTTGCCCCATGGTCACCTATGCAAGAAATAAAAAGGTACAACTCTCTGAGCACATTGAAATATGACCAAACATTCAGTCATATAAACTGAAAGGAAATACAGAGAAAACAGAGCTCCCAGCTGCAGTCATCATGGAATGAGGAGAGGAGACCGACTCTCAGCATCTCTGAGTCCTGAGGCCCTGAGTGGGACTCCTGATGAGGATGGGGAGCAGACAGGTCCAGAAATGGTCAAGGATCCCAGCCTTGTGGCTCACCTGCTGAGCGACCCAGAGTAAGTCTCTAGACCTCTCTGTGCCTCTGTTGCCTCATGAAAATGGTGAGGATTCATGAATAGTCAGCACTCCTTACCCAAGAGTTCTCAATCCACAGACTCAACCGAGCATGAGTCAGAATCCCATTCAGAAAGAGAATAAATGTATTGACCACATACAGACTTTTCCCCCTTCTCGTTATTCCTTAAACGATATGGTCTAACAACTGTATTTCTTTTTCGTGGTACTGAGATTTGAACTCAGAGCCTCAGGCTTGCTAGGCAGGTGCTGTACCACTTGAGCCACTCTGTCAGTCCTTTTATGTGATGGGTTTTTTCGAGATAGGGTCTTGAACTATTTGCCTGGGCTGGCTTCAAACTGTGATCCTACTGATCTCTGCATCCTAAGTAGCTGGGATTACAGGTGTGAGCCTCCAGCACCAGGCTAGTTTAGCGAGTATTTATGTAGCATTTATAATTTACCAGGTATTGTAAGTGATCTACAGGTGACTTAAAGTATACTGGAGGATGGGCAGAGGTTCTGTGCAAACACTACACCATTTTATATGCAGGATTTAGTATTCACATGCGGGGTTCTAGAACAACTATCCCACAGATACTGACAGATGACTGCACATGCAAAGTGATTAGAACAGTGTCTGTACCATGCAATCACTAAGGTGTCAGCTGCTACTGCTGTTATTCTTTAGCAGACATAAGTTTCCTGGGATGACAGTCACATGGCCACTTACCACCAAAGTCCCTCTTTTACTGTGAGTTAGAGGACTACAGGAACTCACAATTGTTCCAGAAACAGACTTTGTGCATGGTGGGAGCACACCTTGTCACCCTCTGTGCTCAGCCCTGGGAATTGTCTCCCCCTTCACTCCAGGCTGACGTGCCACTTTACCTATGTGGCCTCAGCACGCTGGTCTTTCATGAACAGCAACTGGCCAAGGATTGCAACTACATTCTGAAATAACGATGTGAGAAAATAAGAGGTGGCCTCTGAATGCTTCTGGTAAAGTTACTTTTGGTTGGTGTGTGTGGGGGTTCTCTTCAGTGTCACTCGTCAAAGAGTCAGACGGGTTCTGAGTTCCCACAAGCACTTGCCATATAGCTTTGTTCCTATGATGTGGGCCTCCCTAGGGGACCAACCTGTTGACAACCTGCTTAGCTTAAGGGCCAGTGTGCCAAGGAAGCCCTTCTCAGCAAGCCATTCAAGCTCCTTCCTTGGGGCTCTCTGTTAGACAGACCTGAGTCTCAGAAGCACAGGAACGAATCCAAGATTCCTGCCCAAACCTAACAATGCCTGGAGTATGCAGAGTTGGTACTCAAAGGCATCCGGTGACCTTCCCTAGCAGCCACATGCTTCTGGGGAAAGGACAAGGTGGATGTCACGGTCTTCTAAGGTTGGACACAGAAGCTCCCTGACATGGGGCTGGGACAAGGAGCAGTGTCCTGGATCTCCTGGCTGGTCAGTGTATTTTTCCATGAGTTGCAAATTCCCTGCAGACGTCTGTCCCAGCCCTGGAGGGTCACATGTTACCTCCCTTTTTTGGCGGAGGTTACCAGGGATTGAAAGGGCCTCCCACACCCCCAGCCCAGAAAGCCTCCCAATGAGGGAAAAAAATCAAGATGTGGGCCACAGTGAGCACATCCATTAAGAGAAGCAGATGGGCTCTGGGCACCACAAAGGATGAGACACTTTCACTTACCCAGAAGGCTCTCGGCATTTAGGAAAGGTCTGCAAGAAAACCAACACCATTACCCGACATGAACAGCAGAAGAAACAGTCACACCCATGTGCACAGGCAGCATTTTGGGTTCCTCTGGTTTGAACTCAGGGCACTGCGCTTGCTGGGCAGGTGCTGTGCCACTTGACCCATGCGCCCAGACCTTTTTGCTTTAGATATTTTTCAGATAGACTCTTGTGCTTTTGCTTGGAGAGGCCTTGGATCATGATCCTCCTATCTCCACTTCCTGAGTAGCTGGGATTACAGCAGTGTGCCAATACAACTGGCTCAAATTTTAAAATGTGACAAGGTGTGATTAATAAACTGATCTCAACTGAGCTGCCAGCCTGTCTTTAACTGGCCTTTAAGAGCATGTTACCTGTTTATGACAAATGAAATCCCTTCTTTGTTCTCCAAGATCCATGTCAGGGTTGCAAGGTCATAATTCTCAGGATGCTGGAAGGTCATACCTTCAGGAAGGCCCCGCACCCCCACGGCTGCCTGGTCTCTCAGCATCTTCTCATAGGGGATGGGGACCATCTCTGTCCTTCCCAAGGCTTTACCTAGAAGAGGAGGGAGAGGACTCTGACTCCTCCAGCCAGCTTCATTTAAGGTTGTAAACAAACATGGGTGGTGGCATTTAGCTTTGAACATACATTACAAGCACACAGTACCTTATTTCTCTCTACCCCAACATAGATTAAGACAATTCCCAACCAAACAGCCAAGAATTTCAAAGAAAATGTTTTTGAGGCAGAGCCCACTATTTAGCAGAGGCTGGCCTTGAACCTGCCATCCTCCTGCCTCTGCATCCAAGTGCTGGGATTACAGTATGCACCATCATGCTTGGCAACAAATTAAAAATGTATACAATCTTTTACCTTAAACTTTCACATAAGAAAGAAAATAATTGGCCTTTTTCTCCATTCTCTTGGAGCATGAACAATTTGAGATGCTAATATGAGCTGCTCTTGGTGGACAGCACCCCTTGCTTACCTAGAGAATGAAACCCCAACCCAGAGTGTAACCAGCCATCACTATGACACTACACAATTCAAGCCAACCTGCCTGTAGAGAAAGCTAGGTTGTCAACAGGCCTTCAAGTCATGACCTGGGCTGTGTCATACTCTGATGCTTGGTGGGCCCCATTTCTCATAGAGAAGTGTCACCTAGGGCCCCAAGTCACCCTTTGGAAGTCCCCAAAGTCAGATGCTCACAGGTACCTGCAGGTCTCAGAAATGCATGAAACTAGGTACAATAAGCAAAGCCCTAAGAGTCTAAGGTCCTATGTGCTGTGCTGCTGTGGATGGGAGACAGGGTCTCACACATGCCAGGCAAACACTCTACCACTGAGCTGCACCCTAACTCTCTAGCTTTTTAAAACCCTGCGCATGTATTTTTAAAAATGCTTGTCTTGGGCCAGATGTGGTGGTGCATGTCTAACCCCAGCTACTCAGGAGGCAGTGGTAAGAGGGTCATAGTTGAAGTCCTGTGGGGACAAAAGCTCGAGATCCTATCTGATAAGTAAACTGAAAAGCAAAAGGACTAGGGGCTCGGTTCAGGTAGTAGAGTGCTTACGTAGCAAGAAGTGGCCCTGTGTTCAAATAAAACAAAAACTTTTTTTTTTTTTTTTTTTTTAGAATTATGGGTTTTTTCCCTTTTTTATTATTTTATTTTATTTTATTTTATTCATATGTGCATACAATGTTTGGATCATTTCTCCCCTCAAAAAGCCTGTCTTAATGCATGTAGAAACTATGGAAAGGTGGAGACACAAGTGAGGTGAAGGGCCATCGAACCAGTGCTGACCACCTTTCACAACTGCTCTGGCCGTGGCATGGGGAAACTTAAGGTGGCTTGGGAGACTAAGTATGATGAAGGTAGAGGTTTGGACAGATCCTAAGTGACTGAGCTGTGTTCTGTAGGAACACTTAGTCGAGTACACAGCACTTGGTTGTTGCTTGAGGAGTGGGTTTGACAATATTTGCAACCTTCTAAGTAGTCACAGTGAGCCACCGTCTGCGCTCCTGTCTTGCTCCTTAGGGACTGTTTTGGGGACTTGCACTTAGTGTGGGTGTTACCGTAACAAAAGCAGAAATGGTCCTCCACTGCCTTCCTGAGTATTTCCGTCTCTCCCGAGTGGATCTGCATCCCGTTAGCAGGACATGGAGGTTTCACCTCACTCAGCCCTTCCGCATCACCTGCAAACATGCCACGGGCAAAGGTAAGAATCCAAGCTTTCACGTCTCCCTTCCCCGTCTTTGTTCCTGGTATTGAAAGGAAAAAGGGAGAAAAAGGAAAAAATGTAAAAGAAGATATTTTAAGCATATATTAATGGTACAGAATAACGGATTTCATTATGACATTTTCATACAAAGATCTTGTCACTTAAGATGGAAGAGCCACTTGGCGTGGTTCAAGTGGAAGAGCACCTGCCTGGCAAGTGTGAGGCCAAAACAAGCCTGGCAAATGCACAAGAAAAGAAAACCACAGGTCTATACTCTTGATGTCAATTGATGCATAAATCCTGCAAACAAAATTCAACACCACAGAAAGTATTATTCTCTGTTGTTGAGGGGACTTCCTTTTCAGATAGAAAGATGGTTAATATATAAAATCAGTCCATATAATCCACCGTACTAACAGAAGGACAAAAATCACATGATCATCTGACAAGACTGAACATCCTTTTGTGATTAAAAAAAAGCACTTGACAAATGAGAAATAGAAGGAAATGCACCACTGTAAAGGCCATTGGTGGAAAGCCCACAGCTATCTTGACTCAGTGGTGAGGCCGAAAGGTTTTCCTCTGAGATCAGGAACAAAGCAAAATAAGCAAAATGCCTACTTGCCTCACTTCTATTTAATGTAACTGGATATCCTAGCCATAGCAATCAGGTAAGAAAAAGAAATAAAAGGTATCCAAATTGAAAAGGAAGAAATAAATGATCTCTGTTCATACTTAACAAAATCTAATATGCAGAAAACTCTAAAGATTACACACACACACACACACACACACACACACACACACAAAACCTGTTAGAATAAAAAAAAAACAGCAAAGTGACAGGATCCTAAATCAACACACCAAACCCAGTTGCATTTCTGTACACTAACAATGAATGATCTCAAAAAGATACCACAATCATACTACCTCAGTTTTACCCACCAGCGTTTTTGGACTTATGAAATGCAGGGGACAGAGTCGTGAACACCTACAGTATTGTGCAAAGTCTTTCTGCAAATCCTTCCTGGCCTCCATGAAGGCCCGTCCTCTCTCGGTCCCCACCACGAACACGTCTGCCTCGTACACCGCGATGCAGGCCACTTCGGCCTTGGATTTGGCCAGCTCCTTGCACTGAAATAGAAGTAACAAAATGACACATTCTGTAGCAGGGCGGGTCTACAGTTCACGTGGTCCACTGAAGGGTCTCCTTGCAGAAAGCAATACAGAATTAGGTTCAAGGAGTGATATTTATTTAGAATGAGAAAAATTACCAAGAAAAAATTATTACGGAAATACCATAAACATCAGGAAACCCAGAGAACATATTTTTATTGATGGCCTGACATGCCTCTCCAATATGTCTTTTTTCTGTATTTTTATTTTTAGAAGTGGTGGGAAAGGAATCCAGAATTCATACACAGACTCTTAAAACACTGGGGAAGGCAGAGTATGGACGCTCTTGGGATCCTCTAGAAGGCATGCAGCTGTTTCAACACCTGGACTTCAGTCCCATAAAATCTGTTTCTAGAGTCAGGTGTGGTGGCACACACCTGTAGTCCCAGTACTTGAGGCTGTGTCTTTAGAGGCCACTCATTCCTTGGCTGGTGGCCCCTGCCAGGCAGTGGCATCACTCTGATCTCTGATTCCAATGTCACACCTCCTTGACTGATGGTTCATGAGTGCCACTCCTTCACTCAAAATCTCCAAATGGCCACTATTGTGAGTAGCACCAAGTGGGAAAAAAGCTCAATATGACTGAGCCACTAGGCACCTTTTTATTTCTTAATTAAATGATTTAAACACCTTCTGAGCCTCTTTTTGTTTTTTTTTTTTTGTGGTACCAGGGTTTGAACTCAGGGTCTCATACTTACTATGCAGGTATTCTACCACTTGAGCCATTCTGCCAGTGCTTTTTGTGGTGGGTTTTTTTGAGATAGGATCTCATGTACTCTTTGCCTGGGCTGGCTTCAAAACATGATCCTCCTGATCACTGCCTCCTGAGTAGCTAGGATTACAGGCATGAGCCACTGGTGCCCAGCTGAGTCTCTGTTCTGGTCACTTTTCCCTCACTCTGCTCCAGTATTAATGGACCTGTTGATGTTCCTTGAAAATACCTAAATCTGTTTGCACCCCTGGGCTTTTGCACAAGCTTTTCTCACTACTTTGAACACTGCCCCCAAATGGCATGGCTGTTTTTCTCACTTCATCTCGGTCTTTGCATAAAAGGCAAGTGCTTGGATAATTCCTTCCGATGCCCATCCTACCCAGCCACTCCCTCCCCTAACCATCTGTTTCCTCTTTATATTATACTGATACAAATGCATACACATAGAATTTGTTAATTGCCTAATTGTCTACCTAGACTGTAAGATCTGAGACTGGGACCATATCTGTCCTCTCAATTTTGTAGCCCCCATGTCTGGAAGAGTCCTGGAGGCAGGTGACCCTTTGTGAATGTCCCTCTTCCATGCCCTGGGGTCAGATATTTCTGGTTCTCTTTAAATAGATTCTAAAGTTTTATTTAAATTTTTTACAAGTATTTTGTATTTTTGATTGTACTAGTTTGAACTCAGGAACTTATGCTTGCTAGGCAGACATGTTACTACTTGAGCCACACCCCTAGGACTTTTATTTTTATTTTGTTTTTGAGATAGGGTCTTGCTAACTGCCAAGGCTGGCCTCAAACTTGCGATCCTCCTGCTGCTGCCTCCAGGGTAGCTGGGATTACAGGCAAGCATCACCATGCCTAACCTGTGTTTGGTATTTTTGCCAATTGATCCAATAGTATTACTGATAGAAAAAGAAAAATCTATATATTAAAATTTAAATTTTCATTTTTTAATTTTAGCTTTTGGCCTAGATCCAATCTGTGTGGCTGTCCTGTCTCTTCAGTCTCCTTCCATCTGGAGGTATCCTCCCACCTTCCTTTCTCTTTTGTAATGCTAACATTTATTAAAAGTTCATCCCAGGGGTCTATGATGTCCCTCGGTCTGGTTGTCTGAGGCTTCCTCGCTGGATCAAGGTTCTGCACTCTGGGCAGGAGTGACACACGTGTGGTGCACACACGAGGTCCTTTTCAGTGTGTCAGCTCAAGAGGCACCTGTTTTCATTGTCCCACTGCTTCTTGGGTCCCCTGAATCTGATGGCGTCTGTCTGGTCAGCCATGTAAAGTTAATGATCTTCCCTACTTTCTTTTTTCTGAGACAGGATCTCACTGTGTAGTCCAGGCTGGCCTAGAACTCTCTATTCTCCTCCCTTAGCCTCCCCTGAGTACTGGTATTACAGGCATGCGCCACCACACTGGCTCCAATTCCCCATTTTAATCAATCAGTGTCTTCTGCTCAGACACCTGGAGGTTATGCACACTTCTTACCCAATCTTCACTCACCAGAGAGTTCACATATCAGATGTAAAGAGATGCGTATGAATAGCATATTGGTTTACCTCTGATTTCAGACAAAAAATAATTCTCAAACAAGGTAACAAAAGTACTGTCATTAAATATCCAATCTGGAAAGTTTAATATATATATGTAGTTACATCCATAATGTAAAAACCAAGAAAATAAGTAATATGACAAACTCATCATCCTATAAAGGACACCCTCTTCCTTTTTGTTTTCTTTCTTTTTTTTGAGACAATGCCTCGCTGTGTAGCCCAGGCTGGCCTCGAACTCTTGATCCTCCTGCTTCAGCCTCCTGAGTGCTGGGATTACAGGGGTCCATCACCACACCTGGCCTGAAGAACAGTCTTAAGCAGAAAGCTGTAAAACTGGATCAAATATCAGAAGTGACCCTGAGATGGTTTGCAAGCCTGCGGTTCCAACAGTGATCCAACTCTGAGCCAGCTGGCAGAAGCGCGGCCCTCTCACCATGGACTCCAGTGCAGACACGAGGAATGTCACCACCATCCTGCTTTCCGAGGACTCCTTGTCTTCAACGGGCAGGGTGGACATCGCTACTTGGGCCATTGTCCCTGCAAGAGAAGCAAGGAGGAGGTGAGTGGATGGATCCCCTGTCCTTCTAACTACACCATGAGAGCTAGGAGGTGATAGATTCAAAACTGAATTTTTTTGTGTGGTGTTGGGGATTAAACTCAGAGCCTTGCACGTGCCAGGCAAGTGCTCACCACTGAGCCACACCCCCAGCCCAAGTGACTCTTAAAGACATCCAGTGTGTTGCTGAAGACCTCGTGACTAAGAATGTTAACTTTCACAGTATACCCCATTAACCTCCCCATGATGCAGATTTGAGCATTATGCTAGAGAGGTGCAGCCCGTTTCCCAGTGAAGGAAAGACTGGGCCTTGTTTTGTCTTGATTTTTTGTGTGTGTGCTTACAAAGGAACCCAGGTCCTTGTACATGCTGAGAAAGTGCTCACCACTGGGCTAATGACATTTTGTCAGATTTCAGCACACATGTGCCAGATGCCATGTTCTGTTTCACTTACAAATAAAAGGGAGGTAAGTAGAAAGTTGAGCGTGGAGGTTCATGCCTGTAATTCCAGCTCCTTGGGAGGCAGAGGGAGGGAGGAAGATCTCCATTTCAATGCTAGCCTGGGGAAAAATTAGTCACTTAAGCCATTCCTCCAGCCCTTTTGTTTGTATTTTGTCTTTGAGATAGGGTCTTGTCTAGCATAATCTAGGCCCTGAGTTCAACCCTCTCACTGCATTTAAAGAAAAAAAGGGGGAAAACAAAGCCACCCCCACACACACCTCATCCTGAGCATCTGGTTCAGCTCCTGGCCCACTGACCGTGGTGTGGCCAGGTGATTCATATGGGCCATGAGGCCAGGGAAATATCACTGCCAGCTACAGACCTGCCAGGGTCCCCCACGAAAATTCTAACAATGCAAGTCTCCACCCACATTCTCTTAATATACCTGGGCCAGGGAGAACAGTGCTGAGCTGCTAGGATGCCAATTTTTTTATTAAAAATGTTTACAAATCGATTTTCCTACCCTGGGGATGGTGGTGTACACCTGTAATCCCAACAGTCAGGAGGCAGAGGCCGGAGGATCTCAAGATCAAGGCCAGCCTGAACTACACAGTGACACCCTGTTTCAAAATGAACAAGTAAAACAAACACCTAACATCTATCTCCTCTCCCTAATATGGAATAGTATGTGAAGGACCTGGACTTAATTAATTTGTATATAACAGCCTGGTTATTAACAGGCTTTTTTTGGTGGGCCTGGGATTTGAACTCAGGGCTTCATGCTTTGCAAAGCAGGCACTCTATCACTTGAGCCATCCCTCCAGTCCATTTTGCCCTGGTTCTTTTGTAGATGGGAGTCTCGAGAACTATTTGCCTGTGCTGGCCTCAAACCATGATCCTCCTGATCTCAGCCTCCCAAGTAGGTGGGATTATAGGCACGGGCCACAGTGCCTGGATAGTTTGTTCTTTTCATTAGTGAGAGTTGTGTTTTAGGGGTGTAACAGGCTTTGTTTATCCATTCAACAATAAAAAGCACTTGAGTTCTTTCTGGTTTTTGGCAATTAGATCTAAAGCCACAACAAGCAACTCTTCCCCGTACAAGCTTTTGTGTCAACACAGGTTTTTGTTTCTCTTGGGGAAATACCTGAATGGGTGCTACGGCTCTGGTGTGGACTGTCTCCTGAGGTCCACTGTAATCACAGGCTCGGTCCCAGGTGGTGCTGGGGCATGTGGGAGGCTGGGCCTACTGGGAGGTCCGTAGTCACTGGGGTGTGAGTTAATTCATGTGACTCCTCAGTGGTCCTCTTGAGTCCTTGAGAAGGCTGCTATGAAAGGGTCAGCCTGTCCTCACCTGTCCCCTTCTCTCTGCTGTTTGAGATGTGCTGTGTACTCCAACATGCCCTCTGCCATGATGTGCCACCCTCCCCAGAAGCCATCCTAATGAGGTTGCCTGACCTTGAACTCAGAACCTCCAAAACTGTGAGCCAAATCACCTTCCTGTGTACGTAGCCTGTGTGAGGTATTTTATTACAGTGATGAGAAGATGATCAATACAGCGGGCCACAGGTTAAGTGTGGTCTTAGCTTTTGTAAGAAAGTGTGAGTGGGAGCTGGGAGCTAGTGGCTCATGTCTGTAATCCCAGCTACTCAAGAGGCAGAGATCACAAGGAATGTGGTCGGAAGCCAGCCCTGGGCAAATAGTTCATGAGACCGTATCTCAAAAAACAAAACAAAACAAAAAAACCACAAAAAAGGGCTGGTGGAGTGGCTCGAGTGGTAGAGCACCTGCCTAGCAAGCCTGCGGCCCTGAGTTTAAATCCTAGTACTGCCAAAAAAAAAGAAAGTGTGAGTGGAGACTTGGAGGTACTGCTGCTAAGCTCACTGACTGGTCACTTAGGGCCTGAGCAGTCTGCTGGGCGCAAAGTGCAGGATCGAGCTGTCACCTCTGCCTCCGTTTTGGATTCTTCACTTTGAGTCAGATCCTCACTCAGTTCTGTGGGGAGGCAAGTCAGCCGCGTGGAGGTTCGCGTGGAGTGTTCGTGTAAACCTGGGATCCTCCCCCTTCATGAGGAAGACACCAAGTAAGAGTATCCAAGATGTTTCCCTGCCACTTTCAAAGAGGTCCTGTTCCACACCCCTGGGAAGGTGCCTGAAAGTCTTGTCACAGCCCTAAACTTCTCAACAGCTAGCCTGGCAGGAAGGTGGCTCCCCCACAGGGAGTAATCACCCATGACAGGACCTGAGTCCTCCCAGCAGGGACAGTCATCTCATAGGAACAGGATCGTCCTGTTAAGTGATAAAGGCTTTTCCAGAGCCACCTCGCAGGACCAGAACTGAGGTAACAATCGATCGGCCAGGATGGCTTCATCCTGCACGCTTCTCACCCTCTGCCCCAATTCCGCCTCTGCTTGAACTGAAAGCTCATGTGACACCAGAGATGGGGCCGAAGACGCTGGTCCCCTGTCCTCCCCACAGACATGCGGTCAGTAAATTCCCTTCCTGTTCTCACCCTCCTTCCCTCCTCTTCCTTCTTTCTCTCCCTCCCTCCCTTCCCTCCTTCCTCCCTCCCTCTCCTCCCTTTCTTCCTTCCTGTCTCTCTCCCTCTTCTTTCTTTGCTTTCCTCTCCCTCTCTGTCTCCCTCCCTCCCTCCCTCCCTCCCTCCATCCTTCCTTTTCTTCCCTCCTTCCCTTTTTCTTTTGTGGTGCTAAGGTGGAACCCAAGTTCTCTAGCACTGAGCTACCTCCGTGGTTTTTGTTCTGTTTTGTTTGAGACAGGGTCTCTTTATCTCCTGCCTCAGCTTCTCAGTGCTGGGAGTGCTGCTGAGATTACAGCTGTGAACCACCACATCTGGTTCACCACTATTTTCCTTGTTTTTGGTGGCACTGGAGTTTGAACTCAGGGCCTCATTCTTGCTGGGCAGGTGCTCTATCACTAGAGCCTCTCCACCAGCCTTTTCCTGCTTTTAGGTTACTTTTCAGATAGGGTCTTGCTTTTGGTTCAGGACCAGCCAGGATGGTAAGCCTCCTACCTCTGCCTCCCCCAAAGCTGGGATTAGATTTGAACCACCACACCTACCTTGTTTATTGAGACAGGCTTTCACTAACATTTTGCCTCAACTGGCCTCCAACCTTGATCCTCCTAATCTCTGCCTCCCAAGTAGCTAGGATTATAGGTATGCACCACCACATCCAGTTTGTGTGCTGTCTTTGGGGAAAGTGGCCAGGCCTCATTTGATGAGACCCCTTCGCCCCCAAGTTGAGCCTCTGGCCTGGGACTCTAGTAACAGGTGAAAACCTGTTTTCTAAAGTAACTGTACCATTCTGTGTCCTTCCCACGGCCACTGTGCCGTTGCTAACCCATAGCACTGTCAGCTTTTAGGAACATATAAGCCCCTCATAGGTGTGTGGTGGTATCACTTGGTGGGTTTTGAGTCAGGGTTTCACTATATAGCCCAGGATGGCCTCAAACTCGTGATGCTCCAGAGTGATGGGATTACAGGCGTGCACCACTGTGCCCTGCTCACTTTGTGGTTTTAATCTGTACTTTCCTAACAACTACTAATGCAGGCATCTTAACAAGCATTTATTTGCCATCCATAGATCTTCTTTGGTGGCATATCTGTTCAAACCTTTTGGCCACTTTTAAACTGGGGTATTTGGGATTTTGGTTTTTTTTTTTTTTTTTTTGCAGTACTGGGGTTTGAGCTCAGAGACTACACCTTGAGCCACTCCACCAGCCCTTTTTTGTGATGGCTATTTTTGAGATAGGGTCTTGTGAACTATTTGCCCAAGCTGGCCTTGAACTGCAGTCATCCTTATCTTTATCTCCTGAGTAACTGGGATTACAGGCTACCGGTGCCCGTCTGCTTATTTTTATTATAAGGCTTATATGTTTCTTTACATATTCTGGATACAAGTCCTTCTAAAATTCATTTGGAAACACAACCCCCAAATAGCCAAAGCAATGCTGAGCAAAAAGAGCAACACCTGACTTCAAACTACACTATAGAGCCAATGTAACAAACCAGCATGGCAGTAGCACGAAAACAGACATGTAGACCAATGGACTAGAATAGAAGATCCAGAAATAAATCCACACAGCTACATCCACCTGATTCTAAACAAAGGTGGCAAAAACACACTGGAGAAAAGCCAACCTCTTCAACAACTGGTACGAGGAAAACTGCTGTCCACATGCAGAAGACTGTGTGCAGGTGAGACTATCTTCCTCCTGAACAACAACAACAACAAAATCAATTCAAGGACCAGGAGTGTGATTCAAGTGGTAAAGCGCCTGCCTAGCAAGCCTGAAGCCCAGTTCAAACCCCAGTGCCGCAAAAACAGCACCAAAAAGAGAAAGGTTTACCTCTGGGAGTGAGTGTGCTTGCTTACACAAGCTGTTGGCGAATGCAACGTTTCCTTTAGCAGACACAAAATTACAAAGACGCCAGGGTGCTGGTGGCTCCACACCTATAATCCCAGCTACTTGAGAGGCTGAGATCAGGAGGATCGAGGTTCAAGACCAGCCAGGCAAATAGTTCA